GGGAGAGAGGGAGAAAGGGAAGAAGGGAGAGAGAGGTCAGCTGCTGTGAACATCACATCGGACCTCTCCGCTCTCGAAAACACACGGTATCTGGGTGCAGAGAGGGGCCTCCGCAGCGGGGGGCGGCTTTACAAAATCTCGCTCGTGGCAGAAGGCCGACACCTACCCTATACCTCGTACTTCCGAACGCCCGCCCCTTCCACGCGAAGCGCTTTGGCGTGGCCTCCCCTGAGACATACAGGGCGGGGGGAGGGGCGGGGGCGAGGTCGGGGCGCGGGTCATTGAGGATTCGGGGCACGCGTCGATGGCAAACGGAACCGATATGAATGGCGATGGATTCACCGCCGGGCGTGTGGTAACTCAGCCCCGGCACGGCCTCGCCGCCGTGGAGCAGGAGACCCGCGCCGGGGTCACGTCCTTCGCGCGCCTCACGGCCTCCACCGTCAGCGATCGCGTTGCCAACCCGCAATCATAAGCGCGCCACAAGGGTTTGGAAGGAGGAAAAAAATGTATGATTTGCAGAAAATACTGTGCGGGGATTTTTAGCCGGCTAAAAGCTATTAGGTCGTCTTGATGTAATACTAATTTAGTGAACGCCAATTGTTACTGTTTATAGTTGAGGAGGAAAGGGCGCCCCGCGCGTTCCCGGTGTGACAATGTGTCTGGCAGTGCACGGCTCGGCTCGGCGTGCCATCACGCTATCAGCAGGCCAGATTGAGACAGAATCAGGGCTCAGGGCAAACATCTCGTTAGACGATCCACGGCGGGGGCGGCGGAAGGGTGGAGAGAGAGAGAGAGGGGGGGGGAGTCCTCCTCCCAACGACCCCCTCCCCCTCTCACTCCTTCCCACGTTTACCCTTCCTTGTGCTGCTGAGCCGTATTCGCGGTGACTTCCTCTTCTCCCTTATGCGGTTTGACAGACGCAGATCTTTTTCTTACTCAACTTTCCACGCTCTTGTTGCCTTTATTATTCATATTCCTATTTTTGTGTGCTTTCTTTTTTTTTTACAAAGAAAAATGTTGTGGAGATTTTATGGTCCGAAAATTTGACGCTGTTGAATACTTTTCCTTTCCGCCCTCTCTTACATGTTGCAAAACTTGTCCACCCGCCGTATGTGGTCCAGGAATCTGCAAACAAGAGGCAGTGGAAGTGTCAACCAATATCTGTCTTCGTCATCTCGATGGACTCCCCCGTCGTTGGCCGGGCCGCCACGTCACCTGGTCATCTCGGACCAGGGCCACGGGTACTTCTTCCTGACTTCCATCCAGTCCTGGCCCTGGAGAGCAGAGTCGTTCAAGTGCCAGCCCACGTCCATAGAGGACAGGATGGGCACGCGGTACAAGTCGGTTGGACCTGGAACAGACGGAAAGTTTCCAGAGCACAGTCTCCCACTTTTCTCGATACGAAGACGAGCATACCACAATAACACTGACCGTTTGGTTTGATAACCTTTTTGTGTTTTGTCTGTTGCAGAAGATGCTGTGAACTGTACGAGTGCCCATCCAGCACCAAGTCATAAACGTCCAACCCTTTGGGGAAGTTCCAAGCTCTGTCCTGCAAAGTCGGCTCAAATTAGAGACCTCACCTCCACGACCCTGCTCAGTTTCACCGACATCCACGATGTACGCTCATCTGCATATATGCCCTCTCATACCTCAGGCTTCAACTTCTTCGGCACGTAGCTGACCAGTCTCGGCTCAGTCACCCCCTCTCTCTTGTAGTGCCCTATGGGCGACCTCAG